GTTCTTTGGTTCTATACACTTACATCTGCACAGATAAAAGTTTGGCCAGCAAGGAAACTGAGGTTCAGAATGGAATATTATATGTCTTAAGCTCAGAGTAACTGGACATGGTGGAATTCTAACCATGCACTGTCTAATGAGAAAATGATGGAGTTTTCCTTATGCCATTAAAGCTCCCCTGATAGTGGACAATTACAAAATCTGGACTCTCAAACAAATGGACAGTGAACTGGACTGATAATCAGGAAAGCAAGGGGTTAAACTAGACTCTTCAACTTGGAGAATTGTACTAATCGTTAGCCTTATTGTTCACATCGGTAATTTTTTTTCAGATGCTAAATTTGATGCCTTTATAATTCTAATGTTAGTTTTAAGTACCATGTTTTAGACTGTGAAACTCTAAATAGTAGGAACTTTGTCTAAATACGTGATTTGTGTACTACTTACATACCTAAACAGATCTTGAAAATGTTCTTGATAATGTAAACAATTTGTCAAATTTTAAATATATATATTTTTAAAGATTTTATTTATTTATTTGACAGAGAGAGAGACAGCGAGAGAGGGAATACAAGCAAGGGGGAATGAGAGAGGGAGAAGCAGGTTTCCTGCCAAGCAGGGAGCCCAATGCGGGGCCTGATCCCAGAACCCTGGGATCATGACCTGAGCCGAAGGCAGATGCTTAACGACTGAGCCACCCAGGCACCCCTAAATGTATTTTTCTTATTACTTTTTTGTCTCTACATTAATATATTGTGGAACTCTATACAGGAAAGGCTCATGTAGTCATTGTTTTTGGAACAAATTTCATTGAAAGGCTCTAATCCAGATGTCTGTGTAAAGAGAATGTGAACTTATGTCTTTGCCACTTGCCGGAAATAGAGCCCTAGTTTAATGTAGTACAGAGTACTGCCTTACAATTTTCATAAGATAGATCGATAGATGCTTATTAGAATATTTGGCAGAAGGATTTGCAACGACGTGGATGGAACTGGAGGGTATTATGTTGAGTGAAATAAGTCAAAAAGAGAAAGACATGTATCATATGATCTCACTGATATGAGGAATTCTTAATCGCAGGAATCAAACTGAGGGTTGTTGGAGTGGGGGGTGGGGTGGGAGGGATGGGGTGACTGGGTGATAGACACTGGGGAGGGTATGTGCTCTGGTAAGCGCTGTGAATTGTGCAAGACTGTTGAATCTCAGATCTGTACCTCTGAAACAAATAATGCAATATATGTTAAGAAAAAAAAAAAGAAGAAGAAGAAGAAGGTAGTGGGAGGGGAAGAATGAAGCGGGGGAAATCGGAGGGGTAGACGAACCATGAGAGACGATGGACTCTGAAAAACAAACAGGGCTCTAGAGGGGAGGGGGGTGGGAGGATGGGTTAGCCTGGTGGTGGGTATTGAGGAGGGCACATTCTGCATGGAGCACTGGGTGTTGTGCACAAACAATGAATCATGGAACACTTCATCTAAAACTAATGATGTAATGTATGGGGATTAACATAAGAATAAAAAAAAAGAAAAAAAAAAAGAATATTTGGCAGAAGGAAGTTTTGAAATATTTTGCGTCAATAGGAAATTTAGTCCATGACTACAGACTAGGTGGTTTTTATATATGTGGCTACAAAATTTCATTTAAGTATTTCCTTGGTAATATGAAATTTGAATTCCCAAAGGCCAACATAAATGTGACTAATAATAATTTGTGTTTCAACTATATTCTAAAGCCAGTTTTTGACTTAACTTTTAAGCTCCTTTTTCCTGTAAAAAATCTGCTCTGTCACATTGCCACACAACATCCTGTTACCCTATTTTCCTAAGCTGGCAGGAAATGGTCCACTATTGATGTCTGTAATGGGGAAATACTTCTCACCGATCTCGTCTGCTTTGATCGAAACTTAACCTCATCAACATGAACCACTTAGATGAGACTATCTGGAAACATTGAGTAGGTTCCTATTTGTTTAAAGGATGAGGCAAAATCTCTGTTCCGATGAAACATAACAAAATTCAGACTTTCGTATTTAAGATACATTGCAGTGTTCGAATTCTCATCTTCTTTCATCAGTTAGTAAATACATTTATATATCATGTGTCTGCTATGTACCTAGCCATTCTTCTCAGGACTAGTTTTGCTGCTTAGAAAGCTAGCCAAAAAATTGATCTGGTTACAGTCTATTTGTTTTCTTACCACAAGGGTGAAATGCTACAAAATAGCAAATTAAATTAAAAACAAATAACTCTGTGAGGGCCAATCATTTATGCCCTGATGTTAATTATTACAATCACAATTTTACATTTTTATAACTAGATGAACTGAGAACACTGAAAGGAGTAAAAAATAAGGAAAGGGAAATTGATTTTGGATTTTCAAGATTAGGAAGGCAGTGCTGGTTGAGCTACAAGTAGGATTTCTGCATACAATTCACTCATTCCTTCATGTATTCACTCAAATATACTTCCTCAGTATTTATAATGTGTCACCCTCTCTTTTAAAGGCTGGAAATAGAAAGACAAGTTGCAGCCAGAAACAAGAAGACAATATTCAGTAACTGTATTCTGGGGAAGGGAGATGATCATGAGATGAAAAGAACAAAAAGCTGGGCAAAAGCGAGACTGTGCTAAATGTTGACTACTCAGATATTTGGCCTCAGGCCAAACCTGCTTTCTTTCCTGATGACACTTTAGTCAAACAAAAGCAAGCATGTAGTGGAGAGCAAGAACAAACAAACCCATATCTTTCAACCTTTTACTGACAACTATTATTTCTGTACGTGAGTATTTCTGTAGTTTCAATAGAATAATCTGATTGCAGTAACAGTTTATTTGGCAATATCTTTGACCTAAAACATGCAATAATTTCTCTTTAGTATAGCTATAAGTTTACAGTTCAGCACATTGTAAATGATATGGAAGTTTCACCTTACTCAAGTAAATAACAATATAAAATATCAATACACAGAAAATGATGAAGATATTGATTTTAATTAAATGAATGCCTCAATGATTCTTCCTCATTCTCATGCTTTTCATATTTATTTAAGAATAATAAGGTCTCTTTTTTAACAAGGTGAAACAATTTTGCAATGGAAGACTTTGGATGATACCATAGTTTTTACATGGTTATAACACAGAAAGTAATCTTCTTTCAGGCAACCTTTTTAAAGGTGTATTCTGCTCCCCTGGTTTTTCTTGTTCTGTCATAGCTAATCATTAATTACAATACACAGAAGACAAAAGGGTATCTTAAACTCAAGGAAATAGGAAGCAATGGAAAGATTTCTTGAGATGACTGCAGTACAGTAGTTTACTATGCATTAACTTAAGCATAATTATGCCCAATAAAGAGTAAAGAATGCACATTTGATTTCTAATATAAATATCTAGATTTTGTTCATGAAGATACTGATGAGAACCATTAGCCACCATGTAAATATGTAACTTAAGAAATATTTCAGTGGAAATATTACTTATTAATGGCTTATTATGTGTTATGGGTTGAACTGTGTCTCCTTCAAATTCATATGTTGAAATCCTAACCTTCAGTATTTCAGAATGTGACCTTATTTGGAGATAGGATCTTCACAGAGGTAATCAAGCTAAAATGAGGTCATTAGGATTGGCAATAATCCAAAATGACTGGTGTCTTTTTAAAAAGGGGAAATTTGAAGACAGACACGCACACAGAGAGAACACCATGTGAAGATGAAGGCAGAGACAGGAGTGATGCTCTTTCAAGTCAGAAAATGCCAAAGATGTCCATCAACATACCAGAAGCTGGTAGAGAGGCATGGAACAGATTCTTCCTCACAGTCCTTAGAAGGAACTAACCCTGCTGACTCCTTGATTTTGGATGTCTACCCTCCAGAACCATCAAACAATAAATTTCTATTGTTTAAGCCATCGAGTTTGTGGTCCTTTGTTATGGCAGCCCTAGCAAACTATAACCAAATCTCTGATCTAATACTGTCTTCAGTACTGCTTTGTTTATTGTTCACCATATGGCTTCTATCTGTTTGGTTTTATAATTCTCTATGACGAGTAATATTATCAATAACATCACTAACAGTTACAATTAGTTTTTGAGCACTTACCATATTCCAAGCTATTTTGATCATTTCTGACCAAGATGAATGGGCAATAAAGGAAAAAATAATTTTGTTACTTTATTAGGCACTAATGATTATGTTTTATTAAGCCATTGAGGTTTTGGGAATGGGTTCGAGGAGCTTATGTTATTTACCCTAATATGGAAATTGTTATCTTGAAGTGGAGTAATGCTCCAACAAAATCTGAAAGTATGAAACCTGAGGATAGATAGTATGTGATGAGGAAACTGATACTTAAGACTGAAAAAATGGTGAAATCTTTGCTAAAAAATCATTGTTTAATGTACCTTAGGAAGAAGCCTACATGTTGACTCATCATTTCCAGTTAGACGTTAAAATGCCTCACAGCCCTACTGTGTGTTGTCTATTATTAGCTGCATCTCAGTAGTATTACAAAGAAGAAATGAGCTCAGGGAAGAATTAGTCAGCTTGCAAGCAGAAATGACAGTTCAGAAATTCAAGGTCTTTCGAGGCTGGAAACACCAGCTGCTTGTAGAGACCGAACTACAAAGATTCTGAGTGACAACACACAGTAAGAAAAACTTTACAGCTGAATAAAGTGACTCAGGACAAAGGTCAGAGTAGGGTGTGGCTTGACTCCATTTGTTCAAAGAACCCAGTAGTAGCCACAATTAAGCTGAGTGAGAAAGAGGCATGAGGATGAGGAAGGAGCCATGTAAAATAAATTTGAACATTATTTTTAGGAAATAACTTTGGGTATGATAACTGGCTATATGAAACTGGCAAAGTAAATAGATCAGAAGTCTACAAAGTTTTGAGGGAATTGTATTGTTAAGGAAACCACAAGGGCACTCTTGAAAAAAGTTTTTTATTTTTAAATTCAAATACTAACATCAATTCTTGTACTCTCACATACAGAAAGCAGCCTTGGAACACCTCCTCCAAGGAAAGCATGCTCTCCAAACTCTTTTCTGATGTGGCTAAAGAAAATAATGACGATGAAAAAGCTCCAAGAAGTTATAGCCAGGGGCCACAGAGAAGAAGTGACAAAGTAATTCCTCCCAAAGAGTAGAATCAAGGCCTAGTCCAGCAACCTCCCCCTCTCTACTCTGCCTCTACATCTGGTGTGAGATTTTCACAGTTTTTCTGTGCAGGGGTATCATGAATCAATAAAGAACGTTGACTGCTCTGTATGTCTTTATTCTTCCTCTTCCCAATTATTAGTATTCATTGTAGATGTGCTATATGTGGATGTGAGATAAAGATACAGATAAGTTGTCTTTTTTGTTCATCTGTCACCTGACCATGAGAAGCCACATGTAGACTTGACAGAGAAGACGGAGAACTTAGATTCTGAGATGGATGCAGTGAATGGAGGAGTATTGAATTATTTTCTTTGGGAAGAGAGGGGGCAGATGTGAGTTTCTTTGATATACAAGAAGAAGAAAACATTTTCTTGACCAGAATTTGGACTGTGGTTAAGACTATTTTATATTTTCAACACTGTTTTCTCTTCCTGGGCACATAGATAATTGCAGATGTTACTCTCCCATGAAAACATACTGGGAGCTATATGACTTAGTTTAGGTCAATGGAATGTATACAGAAATAATGTAAAGACACTTTTATTCCCAGCTCTTAAAACAATACTGCACAATTACCTATTTCTGTATTTCCCTTCAACATTAACCTTGTATATTTTTTCAGATACACTAAAACACAGAAGTATCTTTGGTCCCTGAGTCACCACTTGGAGGGGAGCTGATCAAGAGAGCTGCCTGATCTACATCAGACTGTTGCCTGAATGAAAAATAAACAGAAATTCCAAGGTCTGTTTATTATTATCACATAGCTAAGTCTATCCAGCCTGAGACAGATACCTTAAGGACATTGCAGCCCATGCCAGGCCAAATTCTATTCAACAGTTTGCAGTCATGGTGAAAGTCTAGAGAAATCTAATACAAAAATGCAGCTAGGCTTCACCCCCTGATTTGAAAATCCAACAAGGGCACTATGTTCCAAATTACCCTGGTAATAACTGTTCTAGTGTACAGTTTCTTTGCTTGCGAGAGTTAACTATTCCTTAAGCACTAGACAGAAAGATGCTATAATGTCTATAGGAATCACTAGTAGATTTTTAAACATATTTCATAGTGTAGCCAAAACAATTTTATATTGCACACTTAGATATATTTGATGTATCTCTGAGCATCAGTTTTTCCAGTTTCCATGAGTTCTTCCCTACATTCTCATACATAGAGAACAGCCATATTGATTGTCTTTTTTTTCTTAGATTCTGGAATAGAGATTTAGATACAGATATCAAAAAGAATACAGCTAAAGAAAGTCATCAATTCCTACTCCTTGATGGCTTCTGGTTTGGTATCCCTTTTGCTTACTCTCCCATCATATTTTCTAGAAGGAGGTAAAAATTATGCTAAAGTTGGAACTGGTGATACATCTAGCATTTGGCAAATCATTAACTCTTACCACTATCCTTATTCTCCAATAGTTCTAGACCAGAGACACGATTTGCTCATTTTTCTTTTATCATGTTTGCCTGTTTTTCAAAACTGATATATGAAATTCTTTCTGTACAATGAGAGAGAAGCTCTTTTCATATGCACTACATTTTTTCTCATTTGCCTTTTTCCTTTTGTCTATTATGATTTTGTTTTTTCTTTGTGTTTTTGTATGAAGGTCTTCTCCATGATTATAAAAACATCTACCTATTATCCATTTAATTAATTTTATTTCCTCAGTTTTTATCAATTTAAATCTCTGACCCATCTGGGCTTAATTTTTCTATAATACATGTAAAAGAATTCCAATTTTTTTTTTTTTTCAAATGGCTAAGTGGTAGTTCCAACAATGTATTTTGGATGATACAGTTTGGTCTGTTCCCTGTTGATTTATTATTCCCCTGTTAAATTCCCTTTTGTACTTGTTGCTATTTCTGGAGTCTCTGTTCTTTTCATCCTTTATTTAAAAATATATTCTTATGTCGCTTTAATTTTTTCCTTGGTTTTCCTCTTACTGATTTAATTATTCTTTATTTTGCTGATGTTTATTCATTTGCCTTAAGTGTTGGTATTGCCAGGATTTTGTCTTTATTCCACTTTCCTTCTCATTTTTTTACATTTCTCCTAGAAGGTCACATCTAATTCCATAATTTCAAATAATATTCATTTAGAAAGGACTCCAAAATTATATATAATAATAATAATAATAGTCACCAGCTATGTGTATCTCTCTCTTTATCCTATGAGCATCTCAAAGTTAATATAGCTAAAATGGGAGCTCATCATTTCTACTATCTCCCTCTTTTTCAGCCTGAATCTGTTTTGTTTTGTCTACTTTTCTTACTTTACTCAAAAGCAACACTGCTCCTCTATTGCTCAGAATGGGAAATTCAGATTCATATATTCTGATTAATAAAGTATTTTTACCCCCCATTTCATAATTTTCATGGTAACTCAGCTAAGAAACATTTCTCAAATACACATTCTACCCCCATCCATTAATTCAGGACTTGCTTCTTATTTAGACCAAGACAAAACCTCTGTACTAGCTTCTCTTTCTTCAGTATCTGCACTTTTCCCCACTCATCTTTTAGATGGTTTCCAGAGATATAATTCAAAGCATAGATCTGATCATTGCACCCTCCCACTTAAAAGCATTATGAATCTACAATACCAAATTCCTTAGCATTTTACATTTTTCATATTTATCTTCACTCTGTTTAGTCCTATCTTGCACTACAAACCCTGTGTTACAGCTATTTGGGGTTGCTCATTACACATCAAATACGCAGTTCATGTTCACACCTCCTTTCACATTCCCATACAATTGCCTTCAATCCACTTTTCCTTCTATATCTGCCTAACATGCACCTGTGAATCCTTCATGGCCTATCTAATTGCTAGTTTTCTTTTACCTTCCCAGGTATTCTACTTTTGTCCTTATTCACTTTAAACAAACTTTCATAATAATATCTAGTACAAAATATTAAAGTTACTCATTTGAATGGCTGCCCCTGAAGAGAATTCCTTTCTTAGTCATATTCTTATCCACAGCCCCTAGCAAGTTTGAATTCAAACTGGAAGAAAATTTTTTATCCACAGCACCTAGCAGTGTCAGTTCAAACTGGAAGAAAATTTCTAGTAACATTTGACCATTTTTTTAATGTAATAGCATACATTCCATTTACCCCATTCAAATTGGTAATCATGCAAGTGAATTATTCTTCATCATTGATTATAGTCTTGGTGGGGGAGTAATTCTAGATCCCACTCTAATGTAACTTGAGATAATAGGTCCAGTTTCTTCTCTGTGCCATTTGGAATAGCCAGGGAAGAGCATGTGAATAATCCAAAGATCAGAGTGAATGAAACAAGAAATAGAATTAATTATACAGTGACTGAGGAACTACTTGGAGGTCACTCATACCATCAGCACCAGCAGCATTCTACCTAGCGTACAAGACTGAGCTTGATTGCTTTTTACTTCTTTTATTTATTTATTTATTTATTTATTTATTTATTTATTTATTGACAGAGACGGACAGCGAGATAGGGAACACAAGCAGGGGGAGTGGGAGAGGGAGAAGCAGGCTTCCCAAGGAGCATGGAGCCTGATGTGGGGCTCGATCCCAGGACCCTGGGATCATGACCTGAGCTGAAGGCAGACGCTTAACGACTGAGCCACCCAGGTGCCCCTGCTTTTTACTTCTTGACCATGCAAAGATTCTTCTGTTCTTAACTAAATGGCACCTTTTTAATGAGGTCTACCTAACCAATCCATTTGAAGTTATAATCTCTACAAACTTCTGATCCCTATACTTTGTTCAACTTTTTAAAAAATTTACAAGGTACTTATTATCTGCTAACATAGTACATCATTTATTTGTTAATAATTTATCCATTCCAGACTTTTTGTGTTTACTATTTGCATGGTATACCTTTTTTCCTACCCATTTACTTTGAATCTATCTGTGTCTTTATATTCAAAGGACGTCTCTCATAGACAACATATAGTTGGAGCCTACTTTTTCTCTATTCTGACAATTTCTGCTTTTTGTGGAAAGTTTATGGCATTAATATGTAATACAATTATTGATGTAGTTGAATTTGGGTCTACCATTTTATTATTTGTTTTGTCTTTGTCTCCTCTGGTTTTTATTTTTATTTTTTTTTTGTTGTTGGTGGTGGTGGTGTTCTCCTGTTACTGATTTCTGGCTCCTTTTGGATTATTAGAATATCTTTAAGATTTTTTATTTTAATTCCTCTATTGGCTTTTTAGTTATGCCTCTTTGCATATTTTTAAGTTTACTCTAGGGATTAAAATATACCTCCCTATCTGTTCACAGTTTCCTTGCAATTAATATTGTACCAGCTCATGTAAAATGTATATAGGCATACATAGGGATCATATAGGTTTATTAACCACCTAATTCCTTTATGTTGTAATTATCACATATATTACACCAACATACATTATAACCCCTACAAGAAAATGCTATAATTTTTGCTTTAATCCGTGCTATATACCTTAAAGAAACTAAATGGAAAATAAAGTTTTTCATATTTATCCAGATACTTAGCATTTTATATTCTCTTCATTCCCATTGGTTATCATTTCCCTTCATAATGAACAGGTTCCATTAGCATTTTTTATAATGCACATGGGCTAGGGACAAATTTTTTAGTGTTCTTTTATTTGAAAACATTTTTATTTCTTCATTCTGAAAAAAAATTGTGTCCACTGGATTTAGAATTTTAGATTGCTTATGTTTTTGTATTTAAAATTTTAAAGATATTGTTTCACTGCTTTCTGGTCTTCATATTTTCCAGTGAGATGTCAGAAATCATTCAAATTGTCTTTCCCCTCTACATAATATGTTCTCTTGCTACTTTCAAGATTTTCTCTTTATTGCTGATTTTCAGGATGATTTCATTAATTTTGGTACTGCTTTGGGTTCACTGAGCTTCCTGATTCTTTAAATGTAATGCTTTCACAAAATTTGAGGAGATTTTAGTTATTGTTTATTCAAATATTTCACCTGCTCTACTCTATTTCTCCCTGCATTATTGGACTACAATTGCACATATATTCAGATTTTTCATATTGTCCCACAGATGCCTTGTTCAATTTTTTCACTTTTTTCCCCCATGTTTAGTAGATTAGATGACTTCTATTGATATATCTTCAAGTTTAAAAATTCATCCATCTATTATCTCCAGTATGCAGTTACCACCATCTAGTTAATATTTTTCAGATGTTGGATATTTCATATAGGATTCTTATTTGATTTCTTTATAGATTTGAAAGATTTTCTCTATAGAGATTTCTTAATTTTTTTAACCACAATCATATTTTCCTTTACCTTATTAAATGTAGTTATAACATTTTAAAGATATTGTTTGCTCATTTAAACACCTGAATCATTTCAGGGCTGAACCCTGTTGGCTGTATTTTCTTTTGAGAAAATGGGTTCTTCATATGTTGAGTGACCTTAAGTTGTAGTGTGGACATTGTGAATAATATTTTGTGGAGGCCCCAGATTCTGTTATAGATCTCTGAATAATATTTATATTTCTGTTTTAGTAGGCAATTTACTTAGTAAAGCTGCAAACACAGACTTTATCAGAAATACCCATCTAAATTCAGTTATTTTTTTTCCCCCTTGCTAGGCTGCTTACAATCTTCCATGGTCTTATAAGTCAGAGATCAGGCAGAGGTTGGGCAACGTTGTTCACAAATTTGAGTTTTCTCTTTTGCTCTTTCCCTTCCAATATTTACTTTCCAGCAACTGTGGTTGCCCCAAACTCTGTCTCCTGGTTCATGAAGCTAAAGTAACTATATGATTTTTATCAGTGTTTTACCTGCCTTATGTGGCATATTGTCATATTGTCATTGGCATATTGTCTCAGTTTCCCCTCAAGCTAAAGGATATAGCAACAAGAAACTCATCCTGTCCATTTTTCTTGTTTTGAGTCTCCATCATAATTTATATGCTTTTCTTATCTCTTCAGAGCCTTTAGGTAATTCAGTTCAGTTGTTGAACAGAGTTTGTAGCTGTTAACTTTGGGAGGGCCAGTTGGTTAGAAACTTCCTCAGCCACACTGGAACAGAACTCTTATCATTTATTTATCCACTTTGTTATTATATTGTCTGGGTGCTCAGGAAAAGGATCATTTTTTTTTTAATGTTTCCAAGTGTTTGCACCTTAAGAGAAATGTTTACAACATTATACTGAATATATGTTTGTGAAAAGAATGCATGCAATAGAAGTACCTAAGAATGGCTATAATTAAAAATAAGACAAATACATATGGGAAAATATAAAAAATTATTGAAAGACACAAAAGTAGTGATGCCAAAAATGGAAAAACTCAATCTAAAAAATGTGTTAATTATTCATAAATTAGTCTACATATTTAGAATGTAGACTAAAAATCACAGCTGGGTACCTTTTATGGACATTGATAACCTGTGTCTACAAATTTATAAGGAAGAACAAAAGGCCAAGAAAAACAGACAATTTTGAAAAAGGAAAAAGCAAAGTGTACTTCATTGATGATTGAAAGACTTATATGAACCATCTAATTAATTTAGTATGTTATTTGCACAAAAGTAGAAAAAAACATTAATTAAACATAAAATAAAGACAAGAAGCAGAGCCATACATATATGGGTATTTCATATATGACAGGTGATATGTACAATCAGTAAATTCTTTAATAAATGGTACTAGGAAAATTAGTTATCTGCATGTAAAAATAATGTTTGCTCACTTGTTTTACATCAGTTCCAGAAAGATAAAAAGCTAATTATAAAAATAAAAAAATTTAAATCACTAAAATAATAGTAGTTAATATTTCTAGATTTTGTAGTTAAAAATTTCTTAAAGTAGAAAACAAAGGCACAAATCTCAAAGAAAAAATGATAAATTTTACTTTTTAAGAACTCAAACAGCTGAATTTCAAAAGAAAGTCTAAAATCTTTTCAGTTCATAAAACTGTGAAATAATTTTTATCCTGGGAGTGCCTGGGTGGCTCATTCGGTTAAGCATCCAACTCTTGATCTCAGCTCACGTCTTGATCTCAGGGTTGTGAGTTCAAGCCAGGCACTGGGCTCCATCCTGGGTGTGGAGCCTACTTAAAAAAAAATAAAAAGACTTTTTTTTTTTTTTTAAGATTTTATTTATTTATCTGAGAGAGAATGGGAGACAGAAAGCATGAGAGTGGGAGGATCAGAGGGAGAAGCAGACTCCCCGCCGAGCAGGGAGCCAGATGTGGGACTCGATCCCGGGACTCCAGGATCATGACCTGAGCCGAAGGCAGTTGCTTAACCAACTGAGCCACCCAGGTGCCCAAAAAATAAAAAGACTTTTTATTCTGACAATTTAACTAGCTAGAAATCAATAAGGAAGACAAAGAACCTAGCATAATAGGGGGAAATATATGAAAGGCAATTAAAAGATGAAAAATGCATAATAAAAATTGAAAAATATGTACATCATAGGAATCAGGAAGATACAAATTTTAAAGATATGATATCCATTCACACTCATCAGATTGACAAAAATTAAATTCTGAGAGTACCAAGAATTGGCAAACATATAGTGAAATGGAAACTCTTACACACTATTAATGGGAGTATATATTAGTCACTATTAGATAGTAATTTTCAATATCTAATAAAGTTAAAATGCACATATTTTAAATCTCAGAAATTCTATTAGGACTGTATCACAGAAAAACCCTAGCACTTATGCACAAAAAGACAAATACAAAAATATGCATAAATATTTGCAATGGTATAGATTATAATAAATAACAAGTTCATAAACATGAGACTATAAATAAAATGCAATATATTTATACAAAGGAATATTATAAAGCAGCTTAAATGAATGAAGTGGAGATACATATTTTACCATGGAAAAATGTGAAAACACAGTATCAAATTAAAAAGACAGATGTATAGACACAGTAGGGTACCATTTATTTATGCATTTAAAGGCAAAAAAGCAATATTATATATCTTTATAGCCCTATACCATGTTATAAATATACATAAACTGTATGGAAATGATATATAGTAAATTCAAATGAGTAGTTAACTGTGGTCTATTTCTTAAGTGGATGGCATGTATGTGGATGCTCATTGTATTCTAACCCGTATGTTTTAAAACTCATATATGGCTGAAATATTTAATATAAAATGGGGATAATAATAATATTTAGGTGATGGTTTTGTTTGGAGAATTAAATGAGGTGATACATATAAATAACTTCAGTAAAATAATAAACAAATGATGGGACAGTGATAATTTTTCCATAAAATCACAAGAGCTAGAAGTCATAATGAAAAAAATACATCATGAAAATATCTAGCAGTATCAATAATAGGAAACATAAAAAATGTAATAAATGAGACCCATACTAAAATTCACTCTATTACCAGGGTAGATAAACATCAATTCGAATAAATGAAAAGATAAACTGGGTCTCCAGATAAGAAGATTCAAATTTATAGAGATGTTGCTACTTTAAAAAACAAATTATATGTTAATCATATCATAAAGAAAATTTAAAGATAAATTACTAACAGGGAAGTATACTTTCAAACAATTTTGGCAGAGTGATAATACTTGAATAACAGAGATTGTTCTTAATCAGTAAGAAAAAAATTAGACTACAGAATTTTAACATAGGAATAAGAAATGAGCAGGTAATTTTAAGTGATGAAATATAGTCAATAAGCACACAGAAAATGCTCAATTGTACTAGTAATCTGAACTACAACATTAAGAAAGCAATAAGTTTCACTTTGTTAAATTAACAAGCATTTTTAATAATCTAATAATATTGACTTGGACAAAATTTCCATAATAGTGGCGAGAAAAGGTCAGGGGATTCTTCCACAAATAAACAATTATAAACATGGGCAAAAATACTAAAAGCTACCATTTGAAGGCAAGAGAAGATACCCAGTAGTAGGCACAAACTTGGGAAACAATTTATTCTAGAAAGAGTGCCACTGTAATGGGTGAGAACTCCAGCTTTGTGACTTTCTGGTCTGGGGAAGCTCCATTATTAGCCCAGGTGAGATGGTAAGAAGCCACAACCTTAGTAACTTGAAGCAGCAGATAATAGAGTTCAGATCCATAGAAGACCTGGAAATCATATACTCCAAAATCTGGACATAAACTGCCCAAATCCCTGGCAGACTTCTAGATTAATGCTTCCATATTGAAAAATAAATAATAGCATACAATAATGATAGAATGATATAAAATAATTAGAACATATTTGAAGAATACTTGACCTAAAATAATGCCATCTGGAAATTCTAAGATTCAAAATTGTATATATAAGTATGTCTTCACTTTTGCAGGGAAAAAAAAAAAAGGAAAGAAGGAAGAAAAGAAGGATTTATATCTATATCCCAAGTGTTAGTTGTCTTCTTTGTCTCTTGCTCCAAGAGGGCATAGATATTTTTAAGTGAATTCACTTGCAAACCTTCATTTCCTTCATGTGTATTCTCTCATTACACAGGTCTTATCTGAAAATATGTTGAGATATATTTTGGATTCTTTTCCTACTACTGCCTTCACTGTTAAAGAAGATCTTTATGACTTTTTTTTTTAGTGGATGATGGTAGGTATCAAACTATTATATTTAGATTCGATTAGATACAATAAACCAATGTGGTAGTAGTTCTATTTTAAAATGTCAATACTTGCTACTCATCAGAAATTAAATGTTTTGAAACTATTTACATATGATAAAAAATGTCTGATGTGAACCTAAAAATGCTCTCAAGGTCTTTCAAATTTTATTTTACAGTATATGAACCAAAAATTTGAAGACCATTGCCTAAAGAATCCTGTCAAACAAAAACCTTAGTGAGTAGTGTGGATTTTACTAAAGATCTTATAGGGAAGGTAGCTCAGCAGACAATTTAAAAATGTTTTAGTAGACATTTTTGTTCTCCCAGCACTTTTAGAGTGCACTGTCACAGGAGTTTTTAATTTGCTTTCTCCCGTTCTCTCATGCTTACAGACTTACAGGCTCCCTTCTCTGCTCTTATGGACTGCCCCAGCTTCTATCTCTAGACTTTTGTACCTAAATTTACATCTGTGTCTCATGCTACAGAATACTCATCCTTCTCAGAAACCAGTTCAGGAACCATCTTTGTGTACTTGAGCCTGATTTGGGGCTGTTTCTTCATAAAAATTACAGCATCCTTTATAAATATATACGTATGGCTAGAAGAAATTTCCCCAAAATTCTAATGTTTATGGGGAATTTTAATTTTCTTCTTTGTGTTTTTCTGTATTTTTCCCCCAAATTTCCACAGACACCTTGTTGCTTTATAATAAAAAGTTATGAAAATTTGAGACATAAAAACTAAAAGAGATGGGATAAAGATTTATGGGAACTTAAAAATGATAAAGGAAGCTTCACAAGTCAATGGCAAAGGGAAGGATTATTTATTTAGATTTATTCCTAGGTATCTTACGGTTTTGGGTGCAATTGTAAATGGGATCGACTCCTTAATTTCTCTTTCTTCTGTCTTGTTGTTGGTGTATAGGAATGCCACTGATTTCTGTGCATTGATTTTATATCCTGCCACTTTACTGAATTCCTGTATAAGTTCTAGCAGTTCTGGGGTGGAGTCTTTTGGGTATTCCACATAAAGTATCATATCATCTGCAAAGAGTGACTTCTTGCAAACTCAAGAAGTTTGACTTCTTCTTTGCCAATTCAGATGCCTTTTATTTCTTTTTGTTGTCTGATTGCTGTGGCTAGGACTTCTAGTACTATGTTGAATAGCAGTAGTGATAGTAGACATCCCTGCAGTGTTCCTGACCTTAGGGAGAAAGCTCTCAGTTTTTCCCCATTGAGAATGATATTCGCTGTGGGTTTTTCATAGATGGCTTTTATGATATTGAGGTTTGTACCCTCTATCCCTATACTCTGAAGAGTCCTGATCAAGAAAGGATGCTGTACTTTGTCAAATGCTTTTTCTGCATCCATTGAGAGGATCATATGGTTCTTGTTCTTTCTTTTATTAATGTATTGTATCACATTGATTGATTTGCAGATGTTGAACCAACCTTGCAGCCCAGGGATAAATCCCACTTGGTCGTGGTGAATAATCCTTTTAATGTACTGTTGGATTCTATTAGCTAGTATTTTGGTGAGAATTTTTGCATCCATGTTCATCAAGGATATTGGTCTGTAATTCTCCTTTTTGATGGGGTCTTTGGTTTTGGGATCAAGGTAATGGTGGCCTCATAAAACGAGTTTGGAAGTTTCCTTTCCATTTCTATATTTTGGAACAGTTTCAGAAGAATAGGCATTAATTCTCCTTTAAATCTTTGGTAGAATTCCCCTGGGAAGCCATCTGGCCCTGGGCTTTTGTTTGTTGGGAGATTTTTGATTACTGTTTCAATTTCCTTAGTGGTTATAGGGCTCTTCGGGTTTTCTATTTCTTCCTGGTTCAGTTTTGGTAGTTTATTCATCTCTAGGAATGCATCCATTTCTTCCAGATTATCTAATTTGCTGGCATATAGTTTCTCATAATATGTTCCTATAATTGTTTGTATTTCTTTGGTGTTGGTTGTGATCTCTCCTCTTTCATTCATGATTTTGTTGATTTGGATCATTCTTTTCTTTTTGATAAGTCTGGCCAGGGGTTTATCAATCTTGTTAATTCTTTCAAAGAACCAGCTCCTAGTTTCGTTGATCTGTTCTACTGTTCTTTTGGTTTCTATTTCATTGATTTCTGCTCTGATCTTTATTATTTCTCTTCTCCTGCTGGGTTTAGGCTTTATTTGCTGTTCTTTCTCCAGCTCCTTTAGGTGTAAGGTTAGGTTGTGTATTTGAGACCTTTCTTGATTCTTGAGAAAGGCTTGTATTGCTATATACTTTCCTCTTAGGACTACCTTTGCTGCATCCCAAAGATTTTGAACAGTTGTATTTTCATTTTCATTTTCATTTGTTTCCATGATTTTTAAAAAATTCTTCTTTAATTTCCTGGTTGACCCATTCATTCTTCAGTAGGATGCTCTTTAGCCTCCATGTATTTGAGTTCTTTCCGACTTTCCTCTGGTGATTGAGTTCTAGTTTCAAAGCATTGTGGTCCGAAAATACGCAGGGAATGATCCCAATCTTTTGGTACCAGTTGAGGCCTGATTTGTGACCTAGAATGTGATCTATTCTGGAGAATGTTCTATAGGCACTAGAGAAGAATGTGTATTCTGTTGCTTTGGGATAGAATGTTCTGAATATATCTGTGAAGACCATTTGGTCTAGTGTGTCATTTAAAGTCTTTATTTCCTTCTCAAGTGGAATCTTATTTAGAATCTTGAAAACAGCATGTTTCTTATTAGAGAAGTCCAAGGAAGCAAAAAACCCAAGGACTCATCTTTTAAATCACCTGAAGACCTTCAGAGAATATCTTCCAAACATAAACCCTCCGCGTATACCTTCACTTCTAGTTTATTTAACAATATTCTTTAAGTAGGATAATTTTTATTCTTAAAGAATTAAGTTAAACTAAGTTAAGTTAAAAATAAAAATGTAGATGTGAGGCTAAGAAGGGTCCCAACTTCACATGAAACAGTTGGTCTTGGAGCTAAGGGAGAGAAATTTCAGTAGTCAAAATAGAACCTAGAGAACTGGTCTGGGGCTGGCTGTCCAGGTTCCAAGGCTAGAATACAAGAAAAGAAGAAGATGGTAAGAGCAAGCAAGCAAGAAGCAGCTGGATCTTCTTCTAGTTATCTATTCAACATCAGGAAGAGAAAAGTCGGGAAGGGAAAATTCTATAGAGGATAAGAACAAGAAAAGAGGAAATTGGAGGAGAGTGAATCTGAGATCCACAGAGAGATAATGAAGCTGCAGTATGTATAGTTTCACAGAGACTATGCAACACAAATACTGAAGACTTGAGAGGAGATTGAAGCTGTGTGAACTTACATGGCAGAGGGGTGGGTTGAGGAAATGGGACCCTTTGGACTAAAATTTAGGCAGGGCAGTTGTTTTGGAAAGAAAGGACTGGGGTGGAGTACAAAGAAGCAGTTGGAGCCCAAGCTGAAAAACAGAGAATTCAAGAAAGGAAGTTAGGGAGGTACTGCTGGAATGACAATTGAGGGATAGTAAAGGGTTATGGAAGGGCTGCAGGGAGGTAAGCCAGGAACCCTAAAACATACCAGGAAGAGGGAGCAGACAGGAAAGGAGAGTCAAGGTACATACAGGTTTTGGAGATAGTGAACTGGACTGTGAGCCCTTGGGCTCTGGTCGGCACCCCATTAGTGAGGTTGAAGCAGCATTTTGGCACTAATTAAAATATTCGTATGAACCACCAGAGGTGTTTCTTGCCTGCACCTTGGCAAACCCCGATATTGAGGAAAATCTCTGGGTCAATGTGTAGCTTTCATAAGCATTCAGATGTACACTCTAGGAGGACTTATGGGAGAAAGGGTCAACTATAATCACCACATTTATGTCCTCTTGCCTTTTATCCAGTTGGCTGATAGGGAAACACAAACTTTGTGAAAAGGAAGAAAGTTGTTCTTTGGAAGAGAAACCAGCACTGCATTTGATTGCATGGCCCTCCTCCAGGTAAGCATTCTATAATACCACTGAGAGAGAATAATGGCAAATTATCATATGGTCTAAAATACACTGTACTTAGGAATTTTTTATTCCTTAGCCAGGTAAGGCTACAGGGTAGATAGGTGCTCATCTGTGCTTCAGTCTTGAGAACTTTAAGATCATTAACACATCTTGGAATTACAAATCTGATTCCAGAAAGTTTTTGAAAAAAATATGTGTCATTACCGCAGTCCCTTTAATGGGAGTGGGTTAGTGGTTAAGCAGTTTTCTCTCAGCTCTAACTTACCTTCTTTAGTTGGCTTTATGAGGCTGGGCTGGTACTCTGCAAATTACATTTCTTCTTTGGCATCTGGCTCCCTGTTATGCTTGGCCAATTGCTGGGCACTAGGGAGAAGCCAAAAGACAGGAGAGGGAAGCAAGAACTTGCTCCTTCCTATTTGCTTGTTATTCCTGTGAGTGTCACATCATTGGCTCTTCCCTCTGATTCTAGAAACAGTTCCATTTTTAGGATTCTTCTGCCATTCTCAGAATCAACTTCACTGAATCTAAGATGTGAGCACAAACTGAGTAGTCCATCCCTCAGAGCTCTGGGTCTCAGCTCGGGTTGGACCCCTGAGACCCCTCCTTCAGGATTCTAGGTTCTGATAATCCCAACCATCTCCCTTTGTAGAATGGGCAAACTTAGGTTTAGTGGCTGCTTCCTAAGGTTACTGTATCTGTGTCACTTCAAGTTCCCATTTTGTCTTGCCAGTCCTCTAATACCTAACCAATATTTAACCTCCAACAGTTTAAACTCCAATTGATTAACCAATTTCTTATATTAAATTATCTGATTAAAAATAACTATGTGATTTCCATTTTTGTGATTGAATTCTGATTAATTGAGAGGGCTAAAGGTCTTTGACAGTGAATTATATAGAAAGCTTCTTAAAATTCTCTTTTAAGTCTACCTCCTTCCAAATTATTCTTCTCCTTGCAGTTGTTAAATATCAGTCCATTCTCTGCCAGCCAGCTGTCCTGGCTCATGTTCCACTTTTGAGAGCTGTCATCCCACTCCCCACCCACCACACTCACATATGCACTTCAAAAACACAACTGAATGATTCTCTCCCTTGTGAAAACCACATATGAGGCATTGTCTATCTCTCCCTTTGAAAGTTTATCCCTCCTTTCTCAAAAATCAGCCCCCATGGAATTCTGATGGAAAAGTTGTCACTTTGTTCAATCTTTTGCTTAGTTAAATTTCTGTGGTCTTCAGTAAAGAGAAGTGTAATGTGTACCTGTGTCATCAGAGGTCTTCTTATTTATGCTGTTACTTTTTCTTTTCCTTGGGCAAAACAGGATTCCTCTGGAAGTGCTATTGTACTTAATCCAGTCCATTAACATCTATTGCAGCCAAAGTATGAGAAAACACATCCAGCATTAGGCTATAATCTCTGTCCCATAAATTCTCTTTCTTGTGAAATACCATTACTAAACAAGACTTTTTTCCCACCAACCTTACTGATACATATATAATCAGATATTATATTTATTATATTATATATATTATAAAATCAGTGATATATATGCTGATATATATACTGATATATGTATATATATTGTACAGCATGATGATTTGATACACGTATATATTGTGAAATGATTACCCTAAAAGTTTGGTTAACAACTATATCCCCTCACATAATTACCACTTTTTGTGTATGGTGATAACATTTAAGATCTATTCTTTTAACAACTTTAAAGGATATAATGTGGTATTATTAATTATAATCACCATGTTGTACATTAGATCCCCAGAATATATTCATCTTATGGATGGAAGTATATATATATATATACCCTTTGACCACATATCCCTCCATTTCTCCACCCCTCAGTCCCTGGCAACCATCACTCTATATTTCTATGAGTTCAAGATTTTAAGCTTCTACACGTAGGTGAGAACATACAGAATTTGTCACTCTCTGACATTTTTCACTTAGCATAATGCCCTCAAGATTGATGTTGTTGCAAAAGGCAGGATTTCCTCCTTTATGAATGAACAGTATTCCACTGTGTGTATGTACAAATTGAATGCTGCAATAAACACTGGGATGCAGATATTTCTTCAGGAATGTTATTTCATTTCCTTTGGAAGTAGAATTACTGGATCATATAGTAGTTCTATTTTTAATTTTTTTAGGAAACTCCATACTGTTTTCTGTAATGGCTGCATCAATTTACATTATTTGCATACCATGCACAAGGGTTCCCTTTTCTTCACATCTTTGCCAACACTTGTTACCTCTTGTCTTTTTGATAATAGCCATTCTAACAGCTATGAAGTGAAATCTTATTGTGGTTTTAATTTGTATTTTCTTGATGATTAGTGATGTTGAGCAGCTTTTCATGTATCTGTTGGCCTTTTTTGTGTCTTTTTAAGAAAAATGTCTAGTCAGGTCCTTTGCCCTTTTTTTTAATTGGATTTTTTTTTTTGCTGTTGTATTACTTGCGTTCCTTATATATTTTAGATATTATCCCTTATAAAATAGATGGTTTGCAGATATTTTCTCCTATTCTCCAGGTTGCCTTTTCATTTTGCTGATTGTTTTTTGTTCTTTGTGGGGTTTTTTTCTATGCAAAAACTTTTTGGTTTGATAAAGTCCCACTTGTTTATTTTTGCTTCTGTTGTTTGTGCTTTTGGTGTCATGTAAAAAAAAAAACAAAAAAAACCAAAAAACCAAACTGTTGCCAGGACTAATGTCAAAGAGCTTTACTCTATGTTTTCTTTTAGTAGTTTTACAGTTTCTGCTCTTACATTTATGTCTTTAATTCATTTTGAGTTGAATTTTGTGTATGGTATGATGTTGGGGTCCAAATTCATTCTTTTGCATATGATTGTTCAGTTTCCTCAACACCATTTTTTGAAGAGACAAACCTTTCCCCATTGAGTATTCTTGGCTCCCATGTCAAATATTAGTTGGCTTTATATGTGAGGATTTGTTTCTGGGCTCTTGATCCTGTTCCATTGGTTTATGTTTCTGTTTTTATGCAGTACCATGCTGTTTAGATTACTATAGCTTTGTAGAATAGTTTGAAATTGGGAATTGTGATGCTTCCAGCTTTGTTCTTCCTTTACAGGATTGCTTTGGCTATTCAGAGTTTTTTGAGGTTCCATGTGAACTTTAGAAATATTTTTTCTGTTTTTGTAAAAAAACGACATTGGAATCTTAATAGGGATTGTTTTACATCTATAGATGGCTTTAAGTTGCATAGACATTTTAACATATTAATTTTTCCAATTTGTGAACACAGGATATCTCTCTATTTATTTGTGTCTTCAATTTTTTTCATCAATGTCACGTAGTTTTCAATGTAGAGATGTTTTACCTCTTTGGTCAAATGTATTGTTTTTGATGCTATTGTAAATGAGATTGTTTTCTTTATTTCATTTTTGGATAATCCATTATTATTATATAAAATTCTACTGCTTATTCTAAAATGATTTTGTATGCTGCAACACTACTGAATTTTTTTTATTAGATATAACCGTATTTGGGTGGAATTTTAGTAGTTTGTCCAAATAAAATCATGTCATCTGCACACAGAATTAGTTCTGCTTCTTCCTTTCTGAATTGGATATCTTTTATTTTTTTCCTACGTGATTGCTCTAGGATTCCCAGGACTATGTTGAATAGGAATGGTGAAAGTGGGCACCATTGTCTTGTTCTTGATCTTAAAGGAGAAGCTTTCAACCTTTCACTGTTGGCTATGCTATTAACTGTGGGCTCTACATATATGACCTTTATTATGTTGAGGAACATTCCTTCTAGACCAACTTTGCTGAGAATTTTTATCATGAAAGGATATTGAGTTTTGTCAAATGCTTTTTCTGCATTTATTGAGATTATATGATTTTTGTCTTTTATTCTATTAATGTAGTATGTGCTGAACCATCCTTCCATTCCAGGGATAAATCCCACTTGATCATGGTGTATGATGCTTTTAATATTCTGTTGAATTCGATTTGCTAACATACTGGTGACAATTTTTGCACCTATATTCACAGGGATATTGGCCTATTGTTTTCTTTTCTTGTAGTGACCTTATCTGGCTTTAGTATCAGGGTAATGCTGACTTTGTAAAATGAGTTTGGGAGTGTTCCTTCCTCTTCATTTTTTGGGGGGTATAGTTTGAGAAGAACTGTATTATTATTCTTTAAATGTTTCATATAATTCACCAGTGAAATTAACTGGTCCTGGGCTTTTCTTTCTTGGGAAGTTTCTGCTTGCCAATTCAATCTCCTTACTTGTTATTGGTCTGTTCAGATTTTCTATTTCTTCATGATTCAGTCTTAGTAGGTTATATGTTTCTAGGAATTTATCCATTTCTTCTATATTTTCTAATTTGTTGGTGTATAATTGTTTGCAGTAGTCTCTTTGGATCCTTTATTTCTGTAGTATCAGTTAAAATGTTTCCTTTTTCCTTTATAATTTTATTTATTTGACTATTCTTTTTTCTTAATCTAGCTAAAGTTGTCAATTTTCTTTATCTTTTCAAGAAGCTAGCTCTTTAATAAAATAATTTCCAATTCTATTAAGCCAGCTGCTTCTTGGTGTTTAATACATGGTAAGGCAGTCAATCCTATAGCTGTTAACCCATTGAGTCACTATTTTTTGTGATAAAAATAAGTTCCTTAATCAGAAGCAATGTTGAGTGATACACTATGTCAATAGAAAAGGCTATCTACATGTCCACAAATGATGGTGCTGGCAAAAATTTTGTTCGTAGGAAAGTCAGCTCTATATTCAGAGTAAAGGTCTATTTTGTAATGAAGATTAATCTCTGCAACCTCTATGATAGACAGGGTTCAATGTAATCAATTGTCTGTGATTAGCTGGCTAGTCTACCTAGGCAATGATATCTTATTGGAGATATAACATTGGTCTGATGGTGGAGGTTGGGTATTCATCTAATGTCATTGTTAGCACACCCTGGTGAGGGGAAGCTCATGTTATT